CAGGAAACTAACACAAATAGCAAACTTACCCCAGCACCAAAAAAGAAAATTCTGAACAAAAACCAAGAGTCTACCGAATGTGGCAACAATTACCAATTAATGAGTCAGTTTAATTTTATGATCAGCAAGGGCTACTCAAATACCCATTTTATTTAGTATTTTTTTTTAAAAGGGACAAAAAATGCTATCCTAGGTACTAACTACTCAGGAGGCAGAAATCAGGAGGATTGCAGTTGAGGCCAGCCTGGGCCAACAGTTTACAAGACCCTATCTCGAAATTATCCAACATAAAATAGGGCTGGCACAGTGGCTCAAGTGGGTATATCGCCTGCCTAGCAAGCATGAGGCCCTGAGTTCAAACCCCACTACCACAAAAAAAAAAATTCATATCAAAATAATTGTTCTTATTAATATCAGTACTTTCTGACATCATACAAGTCAAGTGTGGCAAAACTGTTTAAAACAAATTAACCCATGCCACCAAAATAATAACCAATGCCTAGGAATGATGCTTTATACACTACAGCTGTTGAGTTAAATCCTTAATGAAATAACCATAAACTTAGGACTCCCACCAGTTTGGTGGCATACCCTGACAATAAGTTCTGTAATCATTACCTCTCCACCGAAGATGTCCCATGCCTTCCTGTTCCACCTCTGCTGACAAACCAGAGGTTATTTTTTACACACATCTCTGAGTAATATGAATCACCACATTACATCTCAAGATCATGAAAGACCATGTCTACTGATATTCTATTACAGCTATTTAATCACAAGCAACCAATTTCTATCACATCTATGGTTATAACATTTATATTCCATTAGATCAACAAACTGCATAAAATAAAATGACTCTTCATTGGCAGAAGGAGAACAAATTCAAAGTGATCTAGATGCTGTTTCAACTTGAGAGATATCTAAACAATGTCAGACAAGAGCCATACCGCACACTCACAGGAACACACCCACACAAGCATAAAACTTGATCCACTTACTACAGGAAATAAATATTTTAAAAGGTTAGAACCACTACTGAGGTTCAACAACATTAGCTGACGTTACAGGTGCATGCTTGTAACGTCAGCATGGGAGAGGTGAAGGCAGACAGGTAGGCTCAAGGCCAGCCTGAGCTACATAGCAAGAGGAAAAAAGAGAGAGCAGAGAGGCCTATGAATACTAAAACACATCTAAGGCAACCACCTATTTCATTACACATTAGTCATCAGAAAATGATTTTCAGCAGTACCAATGCTTAAAAATGCAACTGCTGTTTTCAAAAACAGTTTCAAAATAGTTAGGCTGCATGATAAAGCATCCTTACAAGCTAAATGTCAATCCAAAATATAGATTCAGCTACAATAAGTTCTGTAATCATTACCTCTCCACCGAAGATGTCCCATGCCTTCCTGTTCCACCTCTGCTGACAAACCAGAGGTTATTTTTTACACACATCTCTGAGTAATATGAATCACCACATTACATCTCAAGATCAATAAAATATTAAAATGAAACCCACAGTAAAACATATGTAGGTGTCCACACAAATTCTGCACTATTTTTTCCATTTGGGTAAAAAGGAGGCAATGAACTCAGTAAGAAATAAACTACTTTTAAAACTATCTCACAGAGCTAAATGGTCAGTTATCTAGCATAGTTTTTGCACTTAAGTATAACCTTTATGCAAAACGAAGAACAAAACATGAAAACATAAATCTTTATTATCCTAAGAGTAAATCGTTAAAAAGCATATATCCCATGGTTTGTCTCACTCACTTTTGTTTCTACAAAATGCTTACTGAGCACCTAGCATGTGACAGGCAGAATAATTTTTCAGGAGCAAAACTTTAAATTCTTGCCTTTGTGTAATAAGGGAGGGAGGCAAACCAATGGCTACCATGACAAGTCATGGTAAGTTAAAATCAACAGAGAGAACTGTAGGTGACCACAGAGCCCTCTTCTGAGGAGGTACTGGAAAGGAAAGATTAGCAGCACTTTGACATCCTAAACAATTAGGAATCCCTAAGGAAATAAAGTCAACATTAAAAATAAGAAAAAGAGAGTACTACAAAGCTTTGAGACCTTTTATGTAATATAGTTTTCCATAGTAATCAAAGTATTAATTCAGTTTAACATCAATCTCCTGGATAAAAAAAAAGTCAACACTAAGTTTAGATCAACTCTTATTTTACAAACTAGTTCCAAAAGAATCTAGCATCCACATGAAGAAAAGGTTGGAAACGCCTCACTGACACTTGTTCTTTGGAAGCCCTCCTTTCACACATAAATGTGAAGACTAAGGAAAAGGAAAACTTGACCAGGAGGATTTTTAAACACACTCTAGAAACTACAAAATTATCAGTGGTTATCAAACCAGCCTCAAATCACCAGTAACAGGTGATTAATGGATTTTTAATTTGATAATGGACACTAAACACTGCACCAAAGGCAAACAAAGGAAAAGGCTTACTATACTCTCATATTCACACAAAAAAGGTTACCAGTAAATACATACAAGGCTTAAGTTTTACTTTTAAAAACCAACGTCTGTGGTAAATTTGTTCAGCATTTAAGGAACATCATATAAGGACTAATATAATGCTATGTTCTTGTAGTAAAGCTAAGAAGTTTAATTTGCAATGGCCAAAAGGAGAAAAAACAATTAGATGTTTTTTTTAAAAAATCACACCAAGCTTAGGCCTTAAAGTAGGGGCTTAGAGAATTATGATGTTTGCAAGCAACACAGTAAAAGTTACAATATGTTAAATGTAAAGTTTAACTTCTAAGACCAGAAAATTTTTAATAGCATACAAGGGTTCTCCAGAAAACAAAATAGGAAGTGTAATAAAGCTAAGAAAAAATACCATAAGGACATTTGGAAAAACGATTCATTTCATTATGAAAGGTTTTCAAATGCAATTCTGAAGTCACAGCTAAAAAACAGAAATGTTCAAATGTACGATGAAGAAAAACTAGAATGAAATGTATAATTTTTTTTGAAAGTTCTTAGATCTTAGCTTTGTATACAAACAACTTTTCACCTGCAGAATAACTGAAAAAAGTAGCTTTCCAAATGACAGGCTAATTTTACTGCATTAACTATTCATATCTCTAAGACAAGAGAGAAACTTTTACCTGGATGCTTATAGAATTCAATTAAATCAATTACGTATAATGTTTCTGACTTGAGATTTTTTTTTTTAAAGACCAAGGAATGAGTCGAATTCTCTGTTACTAAACTGAAGACTCCTTTTCTCAACCAGATTTGGGAAATCTCTCAAACAACAGAAATACATCCATCCAACCAAAAAAACCAAAATGACCATGTACCAAGATAACATTTTACATCCAAATTTTCTTACCCTGCTGTAAGAAGAAAAGTGAGCTCATTATTCTGAAAGACAACGTATTACTAGAAGTCTATGAATGAAAGCCTAACTACGCAGCAGTACATTTGCTTACTAGATGCTAACTCCCGAAGCCATTACCAAGGAGCAACTTAACATCGGTGCTCAAAGGGGCAACCTGAACCGAAAAAGTTTCTATCACCGCTGAAGCAAGGATTGAGCGGAACAGCTCGGCCCTGGGAAGTGTGGTCAACGGTAAGTGAAGACAGAAGGGAGACAGCCTTCTCACCACAGGCAAAACCAACAAGCCAAAACAGGTGAAAGTCTACTACACTCCACAATATAAACTGAAATTTCATAATAAAAAAGATTAAACTTCATGAGAATGTTCAAATCTGCCAAGTATGTTTTGGAGCCTAAAAGCTGACATTTTAGCAAATAGTGTTAACTTTGAATCGCTTCTTACAACAAATCAAAACTAGATACTACTAAAATAATTTCCTTAAGGGGTAAAGTGTCAGGTCGTGCTACTGAACTTTGCACAGATAAAACTTAGGGAACCACTCTCCAGGCACGAGCTGTCATGAAGACTGCGGGGTCTTCCCGCTGGTCACCTCCTGCTTCTCCTGCACAATCTCTTCTACCCTGGGGGCCTGGGCGCAGACATTTTTGCAAAACCTTTTAGAACTCTCTCTCGGCTTTGTCATAAACAAGGGCCACTGCACCAGCCAGGACCAAGAGGGACTTCCTCCTCTCCCGGAGGCCCAGGCGGCCGCCACCTCCCCGCTCCGCCCGGCTCCCTCCGGCTGGGCCCGGGCGCCGGTCCAGTGCGGACTCCACGCGCGCAGTGGGCAACCTGCGCCCCAGACAACCGCGGCGAGCACCGGCCGGTCACGTGCCAACGAGTGGCCGCGGTCCACGTCCCCGACAATCAGACAACGCCATCAGAGAAACAGGCTGCGGTCAGGACCAAACGTCCGGCCCCGTCGACCCGGTGAGCTCCGGCGGCGAGCTGCCCCTCGAGACCCGCACCTGGCGGACCCACACGGCGCGGAGGGCGGCCGGGGGCGGGGACACAGGTGGGCGGCCACGTGAGGTCTGGGGACACAGGTGGGCGGCCAGGTGAAGTCCGGGGACACAGGTGGGCGGCCAGGTGAGGTCTGGGGACACAGGTGGGTGGCCAGGTGGGGGGGGTCCCAGGTAAGGCGGGTAGCCAGGTGAGGCCAGGAAACACAGAGGGGGTTGCCGGGGCACAGGTGGGGTCTTAGGGTTCAGCAGCGCTGCCAGGTGGGCGCCCCCGAAGCACAGGTGACCCACTAGCTGCGCAGGCCCCAGGGCGGCCCGACGCCCCCGCACCCCGAGACCCCACCCGCCGGGCGGGGCGCAAAGGACAGGAGGACAGGGGCCCTGGACAAACGGGCTGGGGGCGCGGCGGGCGGAGGCTGCCCGCGAAGGGCGCATGGGGCGGGGCGCGGGGAGCAGGGACCCGGGCCCGCGAGGGAGGGCGGGTCCGCGCCCGGGGCTGCGGGGCAGAGCCCGGCGGGGGGAGGGGCGGCCGGCGCCGGGACCCCGCACCCCGCGCCCCGCCCCGCCCCGCGCCGACCCTGGCCGCCTCCCCTCCCCCTCCCGCCCCCCGGCGGCGGCGGCGCTCACCTCGGTCGGCTGGCTGATCTCGAACAGGTCCAGCCGGTTGGCGTTCCAGTGGTGGATGATGTCGGCCAGCTTCCGCCGCTCCTCGTCGCGGCCGCCCGCCGACATGGTGGCGACCGCGCTCCTCCCCGCGGCCGCCGGCCGGGCCCGAGCACCGCAGGCCGCCTTCGCCGCCTCGCCGCCGCCGCACGTCCTCCGCTGGGCTCGGCCCGCGTCCGGCCCGCGCCGCCTCAGCCCGCCTCAGCCGCGGCCGGTGCGCCGAGCGCCGCCGCCCCGCCCGCCGCCGTGCGCGCCCGCCGTGCGCGCCGCCGCCGCGCGCCGCCGCACCTCCGCCGTGCGCGCCCCGCTCGCACCTCCGCGCCGCTCCGCTAGGTGCTGCTGCGCCGCCGGGGGGCGGGGCGGGGGCGGGGGCGGTGCCGGGTCGCCAGCCCGGGGTTCCGACCCGCGGCGCGGGATCCCGGCGCGCGGAGCTGCGTTCCGGCGAGCGCGGGGGCTGGACCGACACCCCCGGTGCTCACGGGAGGTGCTGGATTCTGACGGGCGGTGCCGGGCCAGGGGCGGCGCCGGGTCCCGACCGGCTGTGCTGGATCCGCCGGGCGGTGCTGCGTTCCGACAGGTGGGTGTGGGCGGCCGCGGGTGAAGACCCGGTGCCAAGGTCCGGGAGCCCGCGGGCTGCCCGCCGCCAGGTGCTGTCGGCCGCGGCGCCGGGTGCGGTGGGGCTCAGGGGCGCGCATCCCCGCGTCCTCACCGCGCGCCCCTGACCACTGGCCATCCGTTCCGGAGGGATTCGTTTTCGGTGGGGTCAGCTCGGAGCAGACCTTCCCGAGCGGTTTCTTCAGAGGAAGAAAGATGGTTGTGCTTGAGCGTGTGACAAGGAAAATGTTTACGAAGTCCTTGGGCGCCGAGCGCTGCCCTCCGCGCCCGGCCTGCGCATCCCCCGCGCGCGTGGCCCGCATCTCCCGAGCATGAGATGACGACGGATGCCAGCTCCCTTTGTGTGCATGCCTCGCCGCAGAAATCCCATTTTCCCTAGATAAATTGTAGCGACCCAGCAGAGATAACCGGCTACAAAGTTAAAATAATGAACAGCAGAGGGGAGCGGGGATCAGAGATTCCCTATGCCCCTTTTAGGACCCAGAAATGCCACAGCATGGTTTTTCATCCTGGGATCCAGAAAGCTAAAATTGATTGCAAGTTTTGTTGATTTTACGAATGTTTGTTTCATTGAGTGTCTTCTCTTTAACTGTCCCCTCTCGCCCAAGAGTAGCATGGACTTGAGCTGGAGAACAAATTCCGACAGGTAAATTCCCCTCGTTCATCCAGGTAACGTGAGCTTCTCATTCAGGTAAAGTTGCTTTCCGGCTTTACCTGCAGGGCGATGTAAGAAAAAGTATTCCTTCTGAAATGCCAAAAGTGAGGGGTGAGCGCAGTGAGCAGGGTTTGTCACCCCTCTTTGTTTTTGTCACTGCCTTTCCTTTTCCATTGTGGAGATGTTTTTCGCTCCACCAGTTGGGTTTCTTCTTTTGTGGGAAGGAAGAGCCTGCTGTCCCCTGCTGTCCCCTGAGCTGGCTTTGTCTTCAGTTTCTCTGCTGCTGCCCTAGCACAGTGCTGCATAAGGATGCTTTTCAGCAGCCAGCCTGGCGTTGAACCCGTGCCAGGAGGGCTGAATTCTTCAATAGATCCCTAGTGTTCCGTCTCACAGTTAGTGTGGTGACTTGCAGGAAACCATATGTGCTTAAATGGCATCTTCGTGTCCTAGCACTCTGTTCCTTTGTGCTTCTTTATGGGCTCAGCTTTTATTGTGAGCAGCCCAGTGTCAGTGCTGCTCAGGACCCTCCCTAGGCTCCCCACAGGCCATGAGGGCCATCAGCCACAGTAGACTAATTGCAGCAGGAAGAGCTTTATTCCTGATAACCAACAGTTCAGTGATGTGGCACTTAGAGTAAAGAATTAATTTGCAAAGCTAGCAATTAGATGCTGACGCCCGTAGTGCTGCATTGCTAAAGAGAAGATTCAGTACAGTCAGAAAGTAAGTGTGGGCTTTCTGCCTTGTTATTTTTATGATTAAAAAGTATAGCCAGGCTCCTGTGGCTCATGCCTGTAATCCTAGCCACATGGGAAACAGACATCAGGAGAATCACAGTTCAAGACCAGCCTGAACAACAAAAGTGAGACCCTATCTCAAAAAATACCCAACACAAAAAAGGACTGATGGAGTGGCTCAAGTAATAGAGCACCTGGCTAGCAATCATGAGACCCTGAGTTCAAACCCCAGTACTGCAAAAATATATATATATATATGTATCCATGTACATATGTGTGTGTGCATATATATATGGCATTTGTAGATTGCCAACCATAGTATGCAGGAATCATGAAAGACTGTAAATCAAGCAGGTATGCTGATGTACACCAGTAATCCCAGCACTCAGGAATCTGAGGCAGGAGGATCACAAGTTCAAGACCAGCCGGGTCTACATACAGAGTTCCAGTGCAGCTTGTGCTACATAAGGAGACCTATCTCAAAAAGAAAGAAAGAAAGAAAGAGTCTAAATCAGTGTACTAATTACTATTGTTTTTCTTATTCACTATTCCCCATTCATATTATGTATTAGTGGTATACAATACCCAAAGTACAACTCATAGTAGGTTCCAACCAACATTAGCTTATGGGTAAAGGCTTAAAAACATGTGAAATCCACAGAATACTTTGTGATGTGACATCACGAACACTTTCAGAAGTAGTGTGTAGTTAGCCATGAAAATGTTCCAGCTGACCTTTTTTTCCACTAATATTCATTGTTCAGAACACCCAGATGATAACATTTTGGCCATATGTTAATTTTGGTATCACATATAAGAATAAAAGTATGCAGCTGGGTTTGGTGGAACATATCTGTAATCTAAGCACTCAGACACTGAAGCAGGAAGTTGAGAGTTTGAGGTCAACCTGAGCTACATAGGAACACCTTGTCTCAAAAAAAAAAGAAAAAGAATAAAAAGACATTCTATCCATTCTCTCAGTGTGCTGAATTCTTACACATTTAAGAATCATATTTAAATGCTAAGAAATACTGTATAGAAATAAAATCGTGTCCCTTTTTGTTTTGGTTCTTTTTTGTTTCATAAATGTGATAGTTAAGCCAAGCGCTGGTGGCTCACACCTGTAATCTGGCTACTCGGGAGGCAGAGATCAGAAGGATTGCAGTTCGAAGCCAGCCTGGGCAAATAGTTCATGAGATCCTATCTCAAAAAAAAAAAAAAAATCACAAAAAAAGACTGTTGGAGTGAGTTCAAGCCCCAGTGCCACAAAAAAATAAGCAAATAAATATGATAATTAGTTGTTCATGCCATCGTTGGACATGTGTCACCTCAACTCTTGTTATGATCTGAACATATGGCTTGTGTGATATGAAATAAAGATAGGAAAAGAAGTTCTTGTGGGCTTTATTAACCCCATCCTAGGGAGAATCTGAAATTCAAGATAAGACTGAATTGAAGCCAAACAAAGGGCTGAGCGAGGCTGAAGTAACTTTACAATCTGTAAGTTAGTTTTTACAACTTAAGTTTCCGCTTTATACTGAACTCTTGGTGTTTCCCACTTAAAAGTATTATTTTTAGAGACTGGAGGTGTGGCTAAAGTTGTTGCATGCCTGGTTTTGTAAATGGGAAGCCCTAAGTTCAAACCCCAGTCCCACCAAAAAACAGAAAGTATTGGTTTTAATTACACTATTTAAAAAGTAAGAACTCCAACCAGCCCTAGGGTAGTGGGAATAAATATGCCAGAACAACTAAGTAGCCATACTTTAAAATTTTCTGGTTAAACTTTGATGTTTTCAATGTTTTTGTGAAATACAGTATTCTGGAACTAGTTTCTAAGAGCAATCAAATGTACTAAGCCTTTTCCTGCCTCAATTTGCACAGGCTCTAGAAAATAGGAAGTACCAGGAAAAAGGTGACAACATCTAAGAAAAACAAGTGGCACACAATTATATTTCATCACCAATAAGTCACTTACTTTTCTAGTCACCAATGCTGTGTTTTTAATGAAATTTTGGAGTATTTTTTACAATTACATCATCTTACAAGTCCTTTTAGTAGATACATCAATTCAGAGATGGTCTTTGAACAAAAAGTAAGGTAAAAGGATATACTAAAGATACAAACAGTGGCCTCTGTAAGGTAGATCACCTTGCACGCAGCCTATGACATCCAAGTTAATGAAGAAAATCAGAGGGAGACTCAGTTTCCGAAGTCCGCACTGCTTTACTTGAGCAGTGGAGAAGCACTCTCTTTCTCGTCCCATGGTCCTGCTCTGCAGTCAATTTTGGAGTTGCCTAATAGAATTTCCGAAAGCATCTTTTCATAGAGGAAAGTAGTGATCTAAAATGCTTTTAAAGTAGGAATTAATACTACTTTTTTTAAATAAAAATTAATCTTACCACCCCAGAAAGATGTGTGTGCTTAAATGAGTTGGCTAGCACTTTGTAACCTAAGACAGTGCTGAGGAAAAGTAAAAGGTTCAATCTTAAATGCACGAGTGAGTTATCTTCACTGAATGCAGAATATAAGCCCTTTTGTGGGCAGTGTTAGAAGGCGAATTGCACCTTGTACCCATTGTCCCTTGTCTTTTAGTATCTTACAGTTGCTTTCTGTTGTCCTCATTTGGTGTCACATGGCAGGCTAAGTAAAAATATGGGTCACTTATATCCTGAAATCATTAGTGACTGTGAGAATTTATGTGACTCTTTGGCATTGAGCCTCTGTTCTTCTTTTCTGGTCATACCTCCTGTTGCTTCTTTCCAGGAGTGGCCCTCCTTCATCCTCCCTGCCTCCTTCCCCTACTAACACCACTCCCTCTCTTGTGCTGTGTTTCCTCAGCAGCTGTGTCCCACCTGGCAAATGGCCAAACTGTACTGTCTTGTCTTGAAGTCGCCTCCCCAAAGCTCCATCTCTCATAACTACACTTTGATTTTAGCTCCTACCTTGAATTTGGCTTTGACTTGGTGTTTGTTTTTCTCTTCTTCTTTTTATGGTGCTGTTGTTTTTGCCTTGTGCAAGCAAGTACTCGCTCACTGAGCCATACTCCAGTCCTTGGTTTTTTTGAGGCATGATCTCGCTATATGTAGGTCAGGCTGGCCTCAAACTCACAATCCCTCTGCCTCAA